GCAGTCGAACATGACGACCATATCCATTAAAACATTAAAACGTTATTACCGATGAGGAATAAAAATGGAATTTTTCTAGAAAACTAACTTTCAATGATTCAATCAGGGCAAAGGATAATGCTCAAATAAGAACTGCTCCAATAAAATAAATCCAAGTCAATTCTTCATAATTTGAGCATTTTCAGTGGGCTGAAGTAGAAAATGAAATATGTTAAATTTTAACTGGACTCTCAGCAAAAAATCTGAATTGAATTAAGAATAACGTTGTTTGCAAAGTAATTAAAGTGTTTTATTTACTCAAATGTACATGTCGGTGGGTGTCGATTCAAGGTTAATGGGTTAATGGTAGTGACGATGTTTGTCCTAGAAATAATGATTTACGCACGTGTGTCCGTCCCTTGACCATAATGACACTGGATTCAGTTGTAATTTTGCGGCAGAAATAATGCATAAAACTTCATCCAATACCCTGAATTGTAAAAAAAAATCTGATAAAACCTGAAGTTTTGCATATGGGTTTTAGTCTGCCTGAGAATATGGAAATATTTCCATTCCTTCCACTTCATTCCTATGCAATTTTCCCCGTCAAACATTCAAGGATTGACATCGCAGAAGTTATACAGCGACAGAGTCACTTCAAATGCATTTATTTATGTTTAAACGCGCCTCCTGCATAGTTGAGAGCAATACGAAGAAATTTGCATGTTTAAATTGCAGCTGGGTTTTGTGATGTTCGATTAATTTCAAACCGTCGATTCCTTTCTTCAGTTCACTTCGACGCTTTGTCTTACTTTAATTGATTTCCGTTACGACTAGCTGAAGGAGAAACAGATTAAACTCGCTTGATTAATAGTTATTTTTATCCTGAATAGTTGATGGGAAAATTGCTCTGTCCTTATGTCGTTCACAACAGACAATCGATGATTTTCGAATCTTATTCTGCTGGCTTATAAAAGACATAAACAGAATTAGTTAAATCCAAAGATAGTCTCTCTTAAAACTATTGAAGTTTTGTGGGACAATTGCCATTAGTTCTCAATTAGAAATCAGCATTAATTCCATAACTTTCATGCTTTGGAAATGATCGAAAAATGTTTCAATCCTGGAGTCCAGCTCTGTTTTGAATAAATAATTCAAGAATTCATAAAATCTCTGAATTGTAATTTATAGGTAAGTAGATAAAACCAGAGCAGGAAAGTTCGAATTACATTTTTCGCTTAATCTTCAAATTGAGCACTTCCCCTTTCATAAGTTCTCTTAAAGGACAATTCAATTTTTTTATGACTTCAACGACTTTCCAGCCGATTAGCCCGATGCTTTAATTCTGGCTCACTTTTATTCGAATTATTGGCTGCAGCTACGCTAAATGCAAATAGCTAATGTAATTGCAATTTGCAAAATGAAAATAAAGCATAAAGCGAAGTTTTTGGCCGAAGCAAGCGATCGTAACTAAATGCAAATACCCATTAGGCAAAAAACAACCATAAAGTAAAAATTGAAAATGTTCTTTCTATTTATATATTTTTTTTGAGTTGTGTAAACAACCACGTTGTTGCATTAACAGAACGCAAATTTGCTCAGTTAAGGAAATTTCATAAGAACGGATTGATCTAAAACTGGGGATTTTTCGGGCTTTCAGCCCGGCCGGGAAAATAACTTCTTTCGGACCTCTGAAGATGCCGGTGAAGCCTCAAGAAGAAATTATTTTCCACGACGGCCTAAAAGCCCGAAAAACTTACCAGTTTCAGGCAAAGACGGTGAAGACTCAAATTGTTTGATAACACGAATTGAGATGTTTGTATGACAAATCATGTTAAATCTTTTCATGCCCTAAAGTTTCGCAAACCAAATCCTATTGAAAAAAGTTTTACGCAAATTGGCCAGTGAAAACATCCGCAAGGAAAAGTAAACAAGCAAACACATTTATGTGGGTCAATTTGCGACCTAAGTTTGGCAAGAAGTAGAAACTGCTCGCAAGTATATATATGAGCATGAAAACTCGAATTATATACAAAATTACTTGGTCTAGTTTGATGCGTAAAGGCTAGTTTAGAGGGTTTACTATATGATTGCTTGCATGCAGGCGTGCATAAAATTAAGTAGGATAAACCATCGGACCATTTAATTCATTTTTCCGATAAGAAATCCTAATGATAAAGGTTTTCTGAAAACAAGCTGAATTTATTTACGTGACATGATACATCTGTGTAGCGAAGTTGTATTGATTAAGTGGACCTATTTCCCTTTGTTTTGTTCTATTTACTTACACGGGCATGATATGAGCTTTATAGCCATGGAGGTATGGCGGACTAAATAATGACTTATGTAAATTTCGTTCTCTACACGATATATTTACTGCTTTTCTATTTACATAAAAACGCGTATTTAAATCGTGTTCAAGGGTGTATTGCAAATTGCTCCTAAATGCATGCAATGCAGCTTTAATCCCGTTACTTCTTCGATTTTTGTTGAAATCGAACGTATACATTATTACAGACTTATTACTATTTTAATAACTTCGTCCGCAACTTCGAATTTGACGTCACCGATGACGATGCCATATGTCGTAAGAAACCGATAATCGAACGTTTGGCGATTCTCCCAATCCTCTTTCGTTTCGGTTCTGGATATGTTATCTTTGGCTCAGACTAGCTTCAAAACAGAAAAATCGAGAAAATTACCAGACCCGTGTATAAAACACTTTGCAATAATTTCCACGTTTATTGACCAGCGCCGAATTTGTTTGAAAATCTTGTTTATTTAATTTCAGTTTCAGTATTTAAGTATTTACTCACTGAAAATGGCTGTAATTTACTGCACCGAAGCTGCCGATTATTGGAGGAAATAGCGCGCAAAATTGATCAACAGCTACTTAAGCAGTTTGAACAAATTAATGATTTTCAGATGGTTTTTCTACTCAGTCTTTTGTTATTGCAGCAGCCAAAATGAAGCGAGAAGCGAGAGAAGCCCCTTGGCTTTTCCACACAAAAGCAGCATTTATATCACACACAAATCTAACAACCTTTTACATGTCACTTGCTAACTGTTTACGTCTGGGTGTTGTCACAGATAATAAAAAGTTGTTTTTCACCTTCATGTTCGGGAAAACTCGTCTTCAAGGGAATTCAGGGGAATTTCATATTTAAGTCTCAATGCCTCAAATAATAACATTGATAACAGCAGGTCAGGTAAAACATATACTTCTTCAAAGCAGTTCTAAGCACACTTATGCCATTAGAAAAATAATAATAAAAGCTAATCTGTAACTAAATGTTATTAAGAAAAACTTGACAAAGAATTTGTTGTAAAAGGACATTTTTTATCAGCTCCTCCACGACCGGATAGTTTTGTAACATTCGGTTACAATTTTTGCTTCTTCAGTTGACTCAAGGTTGAAACCGACATTGACCTGCGTAATAATTTTGATAACGAAGGGATGTGGATGTAAAATAAAGTCCCATGTTTTCTCGACGCGAGTAACAGTTATTAAGGACCTTGAACACACGGGGTTAATTCAATTAATGCAAAACTGTACACAAACAAGTGCCAATATTGGCCAAAAACGGTACATTTTGCGCTCCTCTAAAATTAGCCCTCAATGTACCTCAGCAAATATGTCTGGATAATAAAAGTAGAATTTTAATTATTTTGGAGCGGATTACCTAAAACGTTTCACATTAAAAAGGCCCAATTGGAGCAAGTCACTTTTTGTACTGAAGTTGCATTATCATTTAATTATGAGTGTTATTTTATGTCCAATATCTACTAGTCTGCTTATTGGCATAAAGGCTGTGAAGAAGTTGCCATTGAATGGAGTCTTAATTACATTTTCATTTTAAAGTGTATCACGTCTTGCTTCGAAGTTGCCCTTTAGGAAATGTCACGGAAAATATTGTCGACTGCTTAAATTTAGAAATGGAATTATTGCATTCCATTTTTAGAATATACTGGCAATCGCGGCTTTTACTCCACCAGTTCTTTATCAGATTTGATATTAAAATAAATAGTTTTTTGGCGGCCTAAATGGAGTGCATATAATTGCGATGATTTACCGATATATCATACGAAGAATCTCAAAAACTGTGTCAAATAAACATGAAAATATGTACCAAATAAAGAGGTCCCATTAGTATGCAGCCTATGATACTCGATATACATGTTCATCCCGGATCAGTAAAGTTTACCCTTCTTAGCCCTAATAATTCGAACCCTTTACTGGAAATCCAAACTAGCAGCTGCCAAGAGTATGAAAATAAATTTCAGATTTGTATTTCCTGCGGGCAACATTAGAGTTGAAGCATCTCTTGAGAAATTTTATTGGTCTTCGATCAACAAGCTTTGAAGATAGCTGATAGTGGATGGATGATCATTTTCGAACAAATGGATTCGTTTAGTGTAATGCAAAATGACACCGGTTTTAGTCGAAAACTGGGCAGAACACACGACCTGATCCGTTCTAGCCCTAATGAAAAGTCATCATCAATTAAATCATGGCCTTGACATGTCCTGTGGAATAATATGGCATTATTTTCGCGTTGATTATAATGCGAGCATATGTCAAAGGTTAAAATAACAATATTAGCTACGTATCTCTATGCCTTTGAGAAATAATTTCCAGAGTTAAAAGTTTGCGGGGAAAACCCGCAGCTTCAGAACAGCAACAATTTCTTAATCAAAAGCGGGTTTAGAATTTTAAATGAAAATATTTTTAAACATTTTACTATTTCTGTTCTCTAGGCTGAGCGTTAAATATTATTAGCAAGAACTTCCAGTCATCAAGGAAACAAAATTAGTGCCGGCATTAAAAATTCAATTGATTCAATATTTAACAGTTTCGAGTTATACACTCAATTCAATTGAGGTTATGAAATGCATTGTGGAGGGGATGAAACGATGGAACTGTACACGTGGCACTATCACTGACACATGGAAAAGTGCCAGTTAAAAACCGAATAAAATTTCAAATTTGAAAATTGAAAAAATTAAAAGTTTGAATTTACCTTTATTCATGATGAAAATTAAGGCAAAGAAGGTCACGCTCCCCCGAGGAAGGCATTGGAGAGGCACTGAAAATGAGTGAAGCATTTCAGAGAGTTGTCATAAAATTTTTCGGAAACCGCTTATTTTCAAGAAAATACGATTAGTTTTGCCGGCGACATCAACTTTACACTCTCTCACAATTTCTCCGACTAGACTACACGCTTTGACGCTTATGTTTTCGACGCCGGATTTCGGCATCGCAACGCCGATGTGCGCCGCCTCCAATGTAATTCCAGTGCCGTCCAATACCATGGACACAGGACATTGCACCGGTAAATTTCATTATTGCAACATTTCTTAAACTAGCCAAGGGTTTCAACACAATTGGCCCGAAGGTTCATGCAGAACATTTCAATCTTCCACTTGCCAATTTTCCTTTTTTGTCTCAATCTAGAAGGCTTTCAGATAAAAATCCATCCGGGAAAGACCCGTAATCCACAATACGAAATCGTGGAATGTAATTAGCACCTGATGGAGGAAATCCAATTAAATGTGCCACAAAGGAATGTTCTGGAACCTGTCCTGTTTCTCTGGTTCCCCAAGTGGTTTCTAGGATCATCCAGTCAAATTCACACATGCAGATGAATACATAGTAAAACAGGAGCAACTCGATTATCCTCAAACGAGGCATCCAATGGCTAACCAAGAATTCGACAATTTCTTGATACAAGAACAGATCCGAATTTTATATCCAGCATTATGGGATATGGGATGTTGTACAGAAGCCTTTGGATTGCTTTTCCGTCTTCCTGTTTGGAAGAACGTGGATTCAGTGCCGTTATGAGCCTCGTCACAAAAAATAAAACCGACTAGAAATTAGTACTCGTAAGGATTTGCGGTTTCTACTCACACACATCGAGTCGGACATAAATACGCTCATAACATCCCATCAGGTTCATTCGAGTCATTAATTTGACTGAAAAGGTTTAAAATACAAATTTTGTTTGGTGCTGAAGATGGTGAATATTGATCCAAAAATGCCTTAACCGAAAGCTGATATTTTCAGAGATACGGGATGTTAAAAGTTGTAATTTGAACTGAAGCATTTAATTTATTAAATTTGGCTGGTTTATTCAAAATAGAGCTTCACGGCCGTTTACGCTTACAGCCGGGTATTTAAAAATTATGTTTTTTTACAAATTTTATATTTACAAACAAATTGTTAAATCTCATGGCTCTCTGAGGATGCACAAACATGCACAATTTTCAAACGGTCCAAAATAAAGTATTACGTGAAATAGCAAATGCAACATGGTATCTGAGAAATATTCATCTTCACGCAGAGCTTGAAGTCTTGGTTCTTGAGCAAAAGGTCAAAAGCTATGCAAATAAACACCAAGACTACAGCCACATCAGGAAGCAGAAACTCGCCAGCTGCTAGACAGTCAGAATTTTAGGGCAGATCGAAAATAACGAAGCCCTTCGATCTGATATAAAGTTTTGTTGAAAGCCTACAAAAAAGCTAACAAATGAAAAACTATTATTAAACTGAAACTTTTCCAGCATGTTGCCGGTATTGCTGATTTACATGGATGTGTCTATATATTCATTCGGATTTCACATGTGGCACCCAATTCTCGATTCTTTCCCGAGGGCATCCCATAATACTGTAAACATGTTCCCTGATCCTTCTGGTCATTGATATTCGTTTAGCTTGTGTGAACGTTTTTCGATTCGATTTTGCAATCGCTGAAAACGGTAATTATAGAACTTATTCAAATATGCGGAATAAATTTGCGCAACAAGCGCCAAAGGCATATTTAATAAAGCTTTAAAACGGACATTTTAATTAATGCAGTTGTTCAGCTGAATCCAATAAATCCGACTAATTTTCTTATTCTTAGAAAACTGGAAAGCGTCTTAGTGGTTACTTAGAACTGAATTAAAGGTCGCTGTACGGTAACTGAATAAAGTGGCAAATGGAGCAAGTTTACTGTCTAGTCTCACTAGCGTTAGGGGAGGTTTAGCTGTAATCAAAGACTTGCTCTTTCTTCTTTTTTCAGTCGATAATTGCATTTTCCGCCAATTGTTTGAAAAGACCCTACATAATTATTGCTCTAAAAAGCCTTCTAGAATGGCATTAGCATTTATATGACTCGACTTTGTGAAGTTAGAAATGTTAAATAAATATTTTGAGGTTGTTAAATGTTTATTAAGACTGAACGTAAGAATCGAAAGGCCGTAGGCTTTCTCGGTAACACTGCTAAAATATTTGCTCGCCCTCCAGGAAAATGAGTATCAAGTCAAAGCCGTCGCTTAAACTTTTAAGAAAAAAAGCAATTTGTACCTTGTTCCGAGATTCTGGCTGGAAAATGAGGAATTCCTGGTGAGAATTTACTTTCTTATTACCATGCGCTCAAAATTAAATTGCAAAGGCTCATGGAAACTTTACAATACCTCGCAGTGCATTGTTATCCATGTTAGATCATTGTTGAAAAACTACACAGCAAGAAAAATTTCCTAACTTGTATAATAATTTTCGACTTCTATCTAAACCAAAAAAGCTAGTTTTCCCGATCCAATTACACATACACTCCAAACTTGCAGGTATTGAGGACAATAAAGGAAAAGCTGTCGTATTCCCAACAAAAATTCTGCATGGTTGGTAAAACCTTAACAATATAACTTGAGTGTTCTATTCTGTATGGTCTGCGATATGACTTCTTACTATAAAATCGAACGCGATGTACTCAGCGGAGTGACTAGGAATATTGTTGCAAAAGATAAGTTTCCCAAGTATTACATTTGTGTAGATATCGCTACATTCTTCCAGGCATTTCCATTCGATTTGCTTATCGGTCGCCTTAGAAAAATATTTGCTTAGGTATTTATGCGGAAACTTTGTAGTCTGCTGTATGACGCAGCTTCGGAAGGCCTTCACAAAGTTTTCCCTAATTGCATACATAAACTTATTATTTTTAAGTTCAATTAATGAACAAAATCTGACTTAAAGTACCCTACTATGGGTCGAGTAAGATACACTTTTACTCAATTTCCATTATTCAGCGACTGAATTCCGAGCAAGCAAAAGAAAACCAATTTGGAAGCCCTGCTAGTCCTGAGAGATCATTCAGTGATTTAAAAATCCATTTCAGACGTCCAATTCCGACCAAAGTTTCCAAGTTAAAATTTTAACCGAAATTTGGACTGTCGGATATTATGATTTCTTTCTGTATTCATTGTGATCGAAACCGTATTAATATCGATCTATTCAGGACGGAAACAATCCATATACTGACCTGGTGCTTGATTTTAATATTTTATGATCGAGCTGAGCATTTTGATTGTCATAAAACTCGGTGGAAGCTTGAAATTTGTAACTAAAACTGCGAGAAAATGTCTGATAATTACAGGGCGAAAGCAATTTTTGATAATTACGATGAGCATTCGGATTGACCTTTACAGCAACTATATAGCTTGGCTTGTAATTAAAGATGACTTTAATACTTATTATTCGAAGTCGAAAGTAATTATCGAACTAAAATTTACCTTTCACCTGAAATCGGGATATCATTAAAAATTGTACGTGCTTAATGAACAGTGCGTTTTATTTATATTCAAGGAAAATCGATATACACTGAACGTCGAATCAGATTTGGATGGTTTAAAAGTTCAGTTGTCGTACTGAAATTCGAAGGAGATTCGGGAAAGGAAATACTTTGATGTTCTAACAAAATTGAAACAATCCTTCTCCTAGTATAAATGTAATTCCCTAGTCCATTCGTTCGAATGTCATCTGCCCAGGTCAGTTTACTATTCTGGTTGGGGATCGAACTTCAAATATAATAAACTTTACTTGGAGCCCGACTGCATTTATCCGCAGCGTTTCCAAAGTTTTTCTCCGAAACTTTTTAACACGTGACGTGACCTAATAATGCTTTTCATAGAGTCAAGCGAAATAATTACTAGGAAATCGTGGCTGTTATCGCCTAATATTGTCAAAAAATCAAAAATAATTTCCCAGTAACCAAATAATTAGTTTATGCTAAGACACCATCGATTTTCGCAGTATTTTGCCAGAAAAAAATGTCCTTTACATTAATATCGAAAATCCAGCAAAAACAGACCTTATTGTGTCTAGATCTGGGGCGAATTGTCTGTTGGATTGTTTTACAACGTTAAAGGATTATTTTGAGTAGCGCCGCAATTACCGTTTTTGGCACTGAGACTGAACTCTTTATTACAGCATGCCAATACAGGTCTTCAGTGTACGAATAAGCCGAGTAAATATTGACTTGAAAGTAAATACCGTCCTAAGTTCTGGAAGAGCAAATAAATTAAAGAGTACACAACATGCTATGAGGACGTTTAAGTAAATTTACAAAGCTTTACATTCTGACAAACAGAACCTTTTTTGATTGTCTTTAAAAATGTGCCTATGGGTGAGCTTCCAGATTGTTCATCAGTTTATTTGTACGCCCTTAAAAAAATGAAAAAAAACTTTACCATTAACCGCCTCATGCTAATAGCAAAGTTCAATCATTCGCCTTTATTTTAATATTCTTCCTACAGACTGATTGACTTTTTTCATTACACCATGAAAGATTTAAGAGTACAATTTTGCCGCTGGAAAGTCAATAGTACAAAACTTCCACTTCTTTTCTATAATTCTACGTCTACGGATACACTTCCTATACTGACTCAAATCTAGGACGATGCCAAAGAGTATTGATTTGCTATAATTAGGTTAGACCCCAATTTTTGTAAAAAAAATCCGCCTGTCATATATGCCCAATGCATTTTAGTTTATTTGATGTTGCTGAAGGCGACCTGAATAATTTAAAATTTTAAGTCATAGTGGGTGGCCGGTTTTCGTTAAGCGACACTTCAAAAGTTATCCCGACAGCGCGCCTTGGCATTTCACTATTATCAGGAGTTCAGAAATGGGTAGGAAATTCTGGTCAATTTTTCCGCGACTGTAGCTGCAGAAGTTCTGTTTTGAGGAAAAATGTTTGAAGAGTCAGTAACAGAGGTCACTGCTAGGAGAATAGACTAGGTGAGGAAAGCGATTGTATTATCGATTTTTTTATAATGCTTTGGTAAGACTAAGGCTGCGTGTATCCCTCTAGCTGACCAACAAAATACTAAACCTGAACTGAAAATGTTAGATTTCAATAATTTTCCACATTCAAATGGACACTG